CGCCGCACCGACCGCACTGTTTGGTGCAATGCGTGAAGTATTCCTAAAGTCTAGTAGGCGCTAATATACGTTTAGCGCCGGTCGCACTGTGTTTGGCGCGATTATTCGAACTCGCGTTAGAATAATCGCGGCATCGAATGATAAAGCTCAAAAGGCGCATGTTGTGTTTCGACGCCGCATGAACACTCCAACGTTGCCTCGTTTCTCCCAATTAAATATTTGTTCCGAGAAAAGTTAGGAAAGTTATTTATACCCACGACCATTATTCAATCTTTTCACTTCATTTATCATCAGAAGGTATGACATCAATGACTTGTCAACATAATAACCTAAACTAGCGTTAACATAAACATGAGTTTATATTCCAACTGTTTCCTGTGCGTTGCCAAACCTCTACTTTAAATTGACTTCATTTTAAATTCGCGCATACCTGTAGCAGATGTTAAGGTTTCTATTCGCGCAATCCTTGAGCCTTTTTCGCCCAGTCTTCATACATTTTCTCAGACTTTTTGCGCAATCTTGGATTACCGGTTGAAAATTCACATCATTTGCATAATTTTGTTCCCGCAGAATTCCGGCTGAGAGGAAGAAGGAGACATTACGATTGGCCGAAGTCTCTGGCGAGTGTCCGGCCAGTTCGCTTGCAGCTTTCACAGTCGTCCAAGAGCTTATGGAATATCAGTCCCTTCAGGATGCTGAGCGAGAGTAGAAAAAATGCCTCGAGTTCCAAACGAATCGCCGAAAATTATTATAGATCTCCGAGTTACGGTGGTAGCGGGTACATTCCGAGTGTTCCCAGGCCGAGGAGCAGTGGCAGCGGTCGTGGTTATCGCAATCAGAACAATTCTGATGAATCCGCAGCCACGCGTCCGAAGCCAATTTGGAAAACCTTCTTTGGTCGAAAGTAGCACTTATCACATCTATAATTCCGGTATTTAAAATCGATTTTTGATACATTAATTACTCCTAACAGAGAGGGATCACTGCTAACACTAGAGAAAAGTGACGAATATTTGTGTGACTGGTGACTAAGGAGCCGGTCCTAAAGTACGTAACGCTCCAAGGAGGGTGGCGGGGGTAGGAAGTCGTTGGCAGCGTTATGCAGCGTTACAGAGGGATGGAGGGCTATAGAACGGAGCATTATGTAACGAATTTAACTGATTTTTTTTCGATTTTCTGTAGAAGTTTTCGTCGTTTGTCTTCTGACGTTTCAAAGAATCTCGAAAATAAAAAATAATGTTAAAAAATTGTGATGGAGCATCTTCTTTTTCCTAGGGAGTGGAGGGGGACATCAGGAGGTGCCAATTTCCTGATGATCTCTTGGAGGATAGGGTGCAAAGGCGATTGGGCGTCGCAGAGCGCGAGGCTGCGCTGTAAAAGCGGCTTCATATATATTAAGAAAGGAAATAGGTCCTCGCGAAAAATAGAAAGATTTTTGGCCTCGCCCCGCCCCTCTGAAATGGGGAGGAGGAGAGGGTTCCAGTTAAGTTTTACGTATTTTTTAAGGGGGTATAACACAACATTAAGGAGCGTTACGGGGAGGAGGGGTGTAAAAAACTGCATATTAAGCGTTACGTAATTAAGGGGCGGCCCTTAAGAAAAAATATTTTTAAATATGTTGCCAAGAATAATTTCTCTTGAATCGAGAAGAAAATATGCTGCCTAAGTCTCGTGGACAAGGCGTCTTGCCATTTATTTTAGCAGTGGAAGAGACCGGGTGGCAAATCGACTCTTCATTACAGGCTCTAACTTTATAGTCGTTAGAGCACTGCACTGATAGCATTGAATAGCTTATAGGCTAGCTCTAATTTTTTATATTATGCTGCAAAAGAGAGATTCATATTTTTCGCGATTTTTGACGGCACGGAAATTAAAAATGCGAGAAGTGAAAATGGACTCAGGACTGAAGGACTATAAAAACAGAAAAATCTCCGAATTTTAAGAGGTTAAGTAAAAAAGGAAGTAGATTTCATCAAGCAGAAGTATGCAATTTTGTTCTTGATTCAGCAGATAATCTTTCTGATGGCTAATCAAAGTCACTTGTTTCCCATTGCATTGGTACCTGCTCATCAAAACTCCTTCCTTTTTCATTATTCCTTTCTTAGTTTTCTATACTTTCCCAAAAATTCATTCCTCCAAGGATTTCCTGAAATCTTTGTTTCCTTATTTCACTCATTCCAGAATTTAAAAGGGATAGAATTTATTTTTTTACGATGTATGAATAAACGATTTTTCAACATATGCGACATTTTTATAATCTTCTTAATAATGTAAAGCAAATGAAGTATATACCTTAAAAGCATCCCTGAATTTCTTCGACATGATGTTATAGAGAAGCGGGTTGATTGTTGCAGATAGATAGTATAGAATGCCGGATGTATACGTCAGAATACTGTAGAAAATCGTGAACGCATGGTTTGGAGTCTCATTTTCATTCGAGGCTAAATGTACTGCAAGAAGTCTTTGGGCGTGAAATGGCGCCCAACACAAGAAAAAAGCTACCACCACTGCAACTGAAAACAAGAAAAATTGCATTAAATATATAATGTCTGATTTACCCTGAGAAATTTAGAAAAACAAATGAGAATGGAGAGTTAGAATTTCATGACCATGCTTCATTAGTTAATACATTCATTTACAGGTGCTTTAACAGTACACAAGGCCATCAACACCTTAGAAAATAGAGATCAATAGAATTTTCTGTAAAGTTATGGGACGGCAAAAATGTACATCTAATCTATCATCCCTCGACTCTTCTCCCCCCCTCCCTCCTCAAAGAGAGGATGTCAGTGCATATTGTCGAGATATGTGTGGTCCACTGTAACGTTCAAACATATATGGAGCGTATTTTGTGTGTCGCACGAGACGGTATCAATGTTTTCAAGGAACTATGTAAAAAATCTTTGCCCAACAACAGAACTGCAAAAGGAAATTTTGAAGAGATTATTGAAACTGGAAGGCATTAGTGGATAACATATTTCCTTTGCTATTCTGCTGGTCTGCCATGAAACAAACGGCTACTAATTAGTGTCCATTTGGTTCTTACTGTGCAAAATTCACAAAGATGGGCCGGGAAAGAAGAGCAATTTAGTTTATTAAAATCATGTAGATAGATACAAGACGTAGATGGTAGTAGTTGCCTAATATTTAAATAAAATTTGTTACCAGAGAAAAAGAAAAAACAAACACCGGCTGAGACTAGTCCTTGGAATTAGAAATCTCGAGGACGTTACCAATTCAATTACGAATTTTGAAAAAAATGAAAAAGATGATAAAACAGGTGAAATATTTAATTGACATCTTCTATGATTATCCGATAAGAAAAGAAAATGTACAAATTACAATTTCGACAAAAATTATACATTGATCAGTTGATAGTTGGTAAGTTTTTTTACTTTTTTCTTAAAGTAAAATTATGAGCCGCGACTTCCATCATCGCCTACTGGAAAAAATGGAGCCTTTTTGCCGCCAAGAGGTATTTTTTCTTAAATCAAGAATTTTGCTGTTTAATAGAACCTACATCTGCTTAACCCAAGCATTATTTTGCTTGTATCATGCAAAATTTCCGCATATCAGCTTGAATCAAGATGAAACAAATTCTTGACGGCAAATTCGATAATTATCATGCTTGAGCCCAGCGCCTTTTTTTCAGTGTATGGTAAATACGCATTTTTTAGCTCGGGCTCCTGGAAAAATTGAGAGGGAAGGCAGAAAATTCCTCCGATGCCCTGGTAGGCTTTGTGGGTCAAACTTTTAGCGCACGTCGAGCTTATCAGCGCAGACCGCGAGCTTTGAGGCTTTGACCAAAACTTTGGACGGACGTCGTGCACCTGCTCCAACTTTGGGGCGAGCTCCCCGGAGAGCAATCATATCAAACGCCGCCCCGCCGTGGAGGCTTCCCCGTGCCACGAACATGAGGCCCCAGAACTTCACCGCGCCAGATAAAACTCCTTCGATTACTCCTCTCTTTTATCCCAGAGAGCAGTATCGACGACATTTTAAAATCGAATTATTTCCGCAGTAGACCAATACTGCCATGCGAGAGGAACACGCCGTATGAACATTCGAGAGTTGCCAAATTTCCCTTAATAAAATATGTATTTTTGACGACGTTCATGCACATTTTCCTTTGAAATTGTCAGATCTTTTAGATTAAAGTGCATTCATAATTGTGTGAAAATTTCGGGAAAAAATACTCACAATTTTCTCAGTAAATTCAGTTATTATCGAAAGAAACTTGGCAACGTCTGAAGGCTCATACATCGTCTTTACTTAGCACAGCAGAATACTGGAATCCTGAAGAAGAACGCCTCATGAGCCTTCACATGTTGCTAAATCTTCTTTGATAACGATTGTTCAAAGAATCTGTACATGTTTTTTCTCCAATTTGTCAGCAAATTTTGTTTGCAATCAGATCTAAATCATCTGAAAATTTCAAGAGGAAACATGTTTGACTCTCCTATTAAACAAACACACTACTGAAGAAAATTTAGCAACTTTCAAATGTTTCTACTGCGTTTTTCCTTAGCACAGCAGAATAATTGTAGCATCCAAAAATACGTTTCCTCAGAGACCTTGTTTGCAGAGCACATTGAAAATATTGAATGAGTCCAAAAGTAACCAATGAATACATATCAATGGCTAAAGTCTAAAAACACGTATCAGTACTGCAATGTTTCAAAATATCGGACCACACCATATTTTTTTCAGGAGAAAACCAGTAAAAGCATGTCCTTGAAATTGTCTGTGAATATGTATGAATGAGTGAAGAAAGTTCACGGCAATTTAAAAAAAAATTGTTGGTCAGCTATACATTTTGAGCGGAAATTTAGGACGTCACAATGTTATGTAAATGCATTCCAACTTTAGTCATCGATAAGTTGTCACATTCCTGCAAAATTATCACAAGTGCTGAGCGACGTTTAAAAATATCCGTTCCCATTTCATTTTTTTACAGAGAAATTTTTCAAGGAAGCTGTCTGAAAATGTCACTCAATTTTCTTTGTGCTGCCGATTATATTCAGTGAAATTTGAAAACAGATCCAACCAAAAATTTAATGGTGGCGGAATTTTTTAAACATCGCATGGCGTTTGTGATACTTTGGCCGGAGGGTGACGAATTATAATAATTTGATGCTTAACCATTCAATCATATGGAGCCAAAGATGTGAGAGACCAAAAGAAACGTAAAAATTGACGTCGTTTCCGACAAAGCAGCAATGGGTCCAAACTATGCCCACAAAAAGCAGTATTCTTTGTTATATTTTCCCAGATTGTATAGTTTTTGGCAATTTTCAATATTATTGTTTTCTGTTCGTTATAAAACCATAATCACGGAGGCATGCAGCAGATATAGCTAATTTAGCAGCATAGTTCTTTTCGTTTAAATTATAAATCAATCGCATCCTGCAGAAAACTCAACCTCGAAAGTTTAGTCCTTGCCGCACTTTGCGTAGTTTTGAAATCGATAAGTTTTCAATACACACCGCGCGCGATAAAAAAAAAAATAAAAGCGTGTGATTCTCGCATGTGTTGAGCTATTTTATTTTAGACGCGTTTTGGCGTTCCGGGCATTTTCAGTTATGAGGTCTCTCTTCGGTAACACACGAACGCGGCAGATGTATCGAAAGCCGTCCGGAGGTGCAAGACAAGAATTAAAGCTGCTGAAATATATCGATTCCTCGATTTTAGCCAACACTGGCGATCCGCGCTTGTACTTTCATGAGCGCACAAGAGCCATGACGTATTTACGTTTGCGTGCTCTACATGTGCAGGTCCTGATAACAACGTATGATTTATTGTGCTCTATCCTCTGCAAGAGCTGTTGCCATATATAGTCGTCTTATCACAGGACAATGGATCTTATCCCTAGTGTGCTCATAAGTCAATGAACGCACATTTTCAGCTTTGCTAGGCATGAAGGGATGTTGTAAATTATCTCTCCAGTGGGAGATGGTGTTGTAACTTCCGGTAAATTTTCATATAATCGAAAGTGACTAGATCTATAAAAAGAAACCGTATTCTACTAAAGGAATCTCCGTTAACTTTGTACAAGTTTTTATTACACTCAGAATTTTTTCAATTCTTAGAAGGGTCAAAGTTGCTCCAGAATTTCCAAATTTTCTTCCCGAATGCATTTACAAAAAATTGAAGAAAATTTCCTCCCTGAAGATAAAGTCGTTTGCACACCTTTGGAGTCCAAGGTCTAAAACTTAACTTTTAGCTCAACAATACAGCAGTTGTATCTTATACATTCATAAAAATTAGGAAGAAAATTGAAACAGAAAAGGAGAGAATAAATATTTAAAAATTAACTTCTTGCTGGAAGGCATTACTGACAAAAATTAATGAAATAATGGTTTGATAATATTTTAGACGCTTTAAGATGAATGAGTAGCCAAAGCAAAAATTTATGAGACAATTGCATTATTCTCTTATTCTCATGACGTTGTATCATCAAACAAACGTTTGATCAGTTCCCATTTCATACTTAATATTGCGGGATGTTTGAACTTTAAAGTTGCTTTTATAAAAATGCTTATATTGAAATTATGTAGTCGTCGATGCTATTACGTTACGCTGAACGAGACCTGTAATCCGCTGTTCTTCAATGATAAAGGAAAATATCGTATAAACGCGGAAAAATTTCCCGCGGATGTGATATGAATTTTCTTGGAAACTTGTGCAATTTTTTTGCAGGGGAAACCGGTGGAGGGGGGGGGGCCTCGGACATCGTGCGATTCCTCCCACGGATTTATCCTGAGCACGGCAGTGTGGGCCTTCAGGTGAGGAGAGTGAAGATAATCGCGATACACATCGGTCTCGCTCGCTATGCTGGACGACTGCGGTGCTTGAGGTATCGCCCGAAATTGAAGGCGATTTATCCCCGCCGCGGTGCAGCGCTTGAAACAGTCGGGCAGAAAGTGGTTAATCTCGGAAAGTTGCTCGAGCGTGGTTGGGTCAGGAGTGAGATGGAGCGAGGAGATAATATTACGTCACGAGTCCCGGGAAACATGACAAAGGGACACCTTTCCGAACGAGGAAGTTGGCGATTTAAAACCCGCCGTTCTTTACGAGTGTGCTCCCGGTAACTTTGGCCCGAGAAATTAAAGGTGGCGAGCTGAAACGAAAACAGAGTTGCAAGTTCGGTAAAATTCCAAACCCCGGATTTTTCAGCACGAGCCCTAACTGCGACCGCCAAAATGACTATTGATAGAGAAAAAAAGTCAAGTACATACCTACATTCTTCCATCGACATTTAACGTGCAACTCGGAAAAATTCAATATTTCCATCTCGACGCGACGCACAGTAGGTCGAGTCAATTAGAGAGGTCGGACATGAAGTTTTTTACTTAAACGCACATTTTGGGGTTTTTTTCGTCACATTTTACATTTTAAGGAGTGCTTCGGGTAGAAAATTTCACGGGGAAACCAATGGAGCCACTTTCAAGACCTTAAACGTTTGTATCAACGGAGTGCGTTTAAAGATTCCAAATTTTTCCGACCTCTCCTA